CTTTAATAGTGCTCCCAAATTAAAAAAGGAAAACACTGTTGTTGCCCACTTTCATTTGATAAAAGGTATACATATACAATTTGTTTATTTTTTTTTAAACACACAGGGTGCTTCCATGACACTTTTCCAATCAGGTTCGGCACAGCCAGATTACTTGTTAACTGTTACGGGTTTCCATCTGCTATGAGAGTTGGAAGGGGTCTGTCTTTTCTCTGAGATGTGTCAATTCAACTATTTGTTATCAGGCTATTTGAAATATAGCAGAATATCAGCTTGTTGAAGAGCTGCAAAGTAGCCTTGTATGCACCATCTTCTGATCAGAAGCACAGAATATGAAGTATTATAGCTTGTTCACACCATCTCCAGACTAGAAAGTTTTTTGTCTGGTTAAAAAAAAAAAACACATACCCATTCATTCCTATGGTAAAAAAGTGAGGCTAGTTGACTACTGCGCTCAGTTCCAGAACATTTAAGAAAAGTACTGCATGGGCTATTTTGCCCATGCCCATTAGTATGGAAGCCACCAAAATGCAGTTGCCAAAATGCACAAGTATACACAGAAATAAACAAAACAAATAAAAATATCTAATAAAACCCTCTGACGCCATCGATTTGAATCAAACAGCTATTGTCAGGAGGAGAAATTAGTGAGGTACCCATGTAATTTCCTGTCACAGTGAAGGGCCGTTGAAAAACTACAATGTGAAGCAAAGAGAATAGTCAATCTATACCAAGAACTCTAATCGGGTATATTAAAACATTGAACCAAGTCAAATCCTGTAATGTCCTTAAAAACAATGTCATTCTTAGCTTAGTACACAGAGCCCACTTATTCACTTTATAAATTTTACATCTCTAGGCTGGCAGTGCATAGAAATATGTACAAGAATAATCATTACAGGACAAAAAAGAAAATTGCCTCTGAAATGGCCATAGGATATATGGACCAGTCACTCCTGATGGTGGCATTAAGGTTAGGAATAGAGCTGCAACAACTAATCGACTAAGTCAATTAATATCGATGATGGAAAACATTGTCAATCAAACGTTGACGATCACGTCATTGACGGGAGACTGCAGCATGGGGCAACGAAGATTTCGGGCAAGAAAGTAAAGTTGCTTGCAGGTAAGACTGCCTACACTTCTCCCCCTCATGCTGTATAAGTCTATTGCTGGGATAGTTATTGTTTGTATTCCTCTATAGCTGATGGTACATTGTGCTGTATACGTACCATCAGCTATAGGAGGAATACAAATCCCAGCAATATATTATACACTGTATGTATGATGTATTACTGGGATTTGTTGTATTCCTCTAAAGCTGGTGGTATTCTGCGTGCATTGCGCAGTATATAATGCATTATTGCTGGGATTTGTTGTATTCCTCTATAGAGGGTGGTATATTCTGCATTGCGCTGTATAATCATTATGGTGGTATTCTGCATTGCGTCGCTGTATAAAGTATTATTGCTGGCTGGGGTTTGTTGTATTCCTCTATAGCTGGTGGTATATTCTGCATTGTGCTGCATATTATACAGAGCAATGTACCATCAGCTATAGAGAAATACAAATCCCAGCAATACATTACGCACTGTATGTATAATGTATTGCTGGGATTTGTTATATTCCTATATAGCCGGTGGTATTCTGCATTGCGCTGTATAGAGGACTACAAATACCAGCAATAATACATTACACTGCGCAATACTACCATCTATAGAGGAATACAACAAATCCCAGTAATAATACATTAGAGTGGATAAGTCAACTTTCTCCACCACATTTCTGCCCGACGAAGTCATAAGTGGTACCAGTAAACATCAGATGAGACTTCTCATTGGCGGTACCCACAGTGCACAGCACCTGCTATAACACAGCCACTTGCCATGTCACAGGAGAAAACTCATTGAAAAACATTTACTCTGCAAGCCCAAGATGCACTTTTAACACTTTTTAAAGTGACATTAGAGTCAAAGTTTTTTTTCCCCCCCTTCCCAACCCTGCTGTAATGACTTACCCTAAATTATGTCTCTTAATCCAATCTTTTTTACTGTCCTTTTCAGATGTTCCGTCGAGGGCTGGTGCGGGTCTCGGATCCAGCGCTGACTCCTCTGTCCTCCTCTTCTCTGATGTCCCACGGTGTCTGTACGGATGCACACTGCTCCATAGACTTGCCTTGTGTCTCTCCTTGTCTCCTGGCTGAACATCTGAAGTGTCCATGCGCCCACCCAAAGATCCTTTCCGGCCGCCCGGGACTCTTCAGATGTTCGCATGGGAGCGCGCGGGGAAGACACAGGTAAGTTTAAAGCCTTTTTAAAAGGTTGTTTTAAAAAAAAAAATTTTTTTGCATATATCGACTGTTTGCTAGCAGTAAATATATGCAAAAACATGTGAGGATTTAATAACCCTTCAATCTTCCAATTAATAGATTTAGGCCTGGGTCACACCTGGGCGTTTTACAGCACGTTCCTGCACGCTGTAAAACCCTTAACATGTGAAAACCAATAATTGCCTATGGGCATGGTTCCCACCTGGGCGTTTTACAGCACGTAGGAACGCGCTGTAAAACGCCCAAAGAAGTACAGGAGCTTCTTTGGGGCGTATTTGCCGCGCGTATGCATTAGGATACAGCCTGATAGCGCTCTGAAACGCGCGCTTCTTTTAAGCAAATCGCGGTAAAAATGTGCATCACGAAATGCGTGGCAAACGTGCATATTCCGTACGCCCAGGTGTGAACCCAGCCTTAATGCACAATGGTGCTTTGCAGTCTAACTATTTTCTATGTTTTCACAGTATCTGAAGTGACTCCGCTCCTTCTCTACTGCATGTAGCCGCAGAGCCTGTGTTAGTCAATACCGGTATAGTTTTAAAAACAACTACTTCATATTATGCTTTTATTTATATTTGGTTAGTAAACATTGATATTATTATGTCACTTGCCATCATTACGAGCTTTCTTAAAACAAACACTGATTTTCTATATATTTGCCTTAGACCCCTTTCAGACAGGAATCCAATCAGATCCGCTTGTCCTTTGTTGAAACAGATCTCATTGCAAGCACAATGTAACTCTATAAGCAACCAGCTGTAAACGGAGATGTGTATGTTTACATCCAATTATCCCGGACCCCTAGGTCCAGGAATAAAAATGGAAAAGAGTTCAGTTTTGATGGACCTGGTTGTGTTAGATCAAAGGTAGTTGGATGTAAACGGACATACAGTATGTCCACTTACATGCAACATCCCATAGATCTAACTTGAGTCCACACAGATAACTTTTTTCTCCATCGTAAGATGGAGGAAAAAAACTGAATGGACAAGAATGTGGCAAGAGTGACAGCAGTTCCAGTTTGCTCTGATCAACTGGTGATCCATGCATGGGGGCCCTATTTACTTATTTTGGTGGTCAGCTGGAAGTATGAATGCCCTTACATCGGTGGGAAGAACATCCCTTACATCGGTGGGATGACTGTCCCTTACATCGGTGGTCAGAGGGATGACCGTCCCTTACATCGGTGGTCGGTGGGATGACCGTCCCTTACATCGGTGGGATGACTGTCCCTTACGTCGGTCGTCGGCGGGATGAACGTCCCTTACGCCGGCGGGATGAACGTCCCTTACGTCGGCGGGATGAACGTCCCTTACGCCGGCGGGATGAACGTCCCTTACGTCGGCGGGATGAACGTCCCTTACGCCGGCGGGATGAACGTCCCTTACGTCGGCGGGATGAACGTCCCTTACGCCGGCGGGATGAACGTCCCTTACGTCGGCGGGATGAACGTCCCTTACGCCGGCGGGATGAACGTCCCTTACGTCGGCGGGATGAACGTCCCTTACGCCGGCGGGATGAACGTCCCTTACGTCGGCGGGATGAACGTCCCTTACGCCGGCGGGATGAACGTCCCTTACGTCGGCGGGATGAACGTCCCTTACGCCGGCGGGATGAACGTCCCTTACGTCGGCGGGATGAACGTCCCTTACGCCGGCGGGATGAACGTCCCTTACGTCGGCGGGATGAACGTCCCTTACGCCGGCGGGATGAACGTCCCTTACGTCGGCGGGATGAACGTCCCTTACGCCGGCGGGATGAACGTCCCTTACGTCGGCGGGATGAACGTCCCTTACGCCGGCGGGATGAACGTCCCTTACGTCGGCGGGATGAACGTCCCTTACGCCGGCGGGATGAACGTCCCTTACGTCGGCGGGATGAACGTCCCTTACGCCGGCGGGATGAACGTCCCTTACGTCGGTGGGATGAATGTCACTCACATGGGTAGTTGGAAAGAATGTCCCTTGCATTGGTGGTAACGTCCTGTTCATCCCACCGACCACCCATGTAAGGGACATTCATCCCACCGACCACCAATGCAAGGGACATTCTTTCCAACTACCCATGTGAGTGACATTCATCCCACCGACGTAAGGGACGTTCATCCCACCGACGTAAGGGACGTTCATCCCACCGACGTAAGGGACGTTCATCCCACCGACTGATCTTCCTGGATATGACCAACCACCCATGTGAGGACGTTTCTGCCACCGACCACCAATGTGAGGGGCTCACATTGGTGGTCGGTGGCAGGAACGTCCTCACATGGGTGGTTGGTGGGATGAATGTCCCTTACATTGGTGGCCGATGGGATGAATGTCCCGTACATTGGTAACTCATGTGAGAGGTAGAAATTGCTGAGTGCTGAAGGAACACCTGGCAACCTCTGGATGAGCCCTGACTGAGAATGGCTGGTATAATATCCAAGGCTGAAAGGCAGATATGCAAGTAGAGATTATCCTCCACATATTTTAATGACACACTGCGATCAGTCATCCATCCTGTCTGCAGGCTTCCTTGTATTGCACACAGATGCGGCTCCAGTAACCTCAGCCTTTCTCTGTCCCTATGTACGTACCATCACTGGTGGTCAAAGGTGAGCTGCAGCCTATATCCTCATCATTATCAGGCTCCGCCCTCCACCCTCCAGCTGACGCATACTATTACCCACCTCTGCTGGAATGGTTGTACCCGGCCGGCTCTCTTCCTGTGCCTGAATCACATCCTTCCTCCATACAGGACACCACGGACACAGCGAGAAGGCAGCAGCTGATAGACGGCCATTGTACGCCGCACCCAGTCCCGAACGTGTTCCCCTAGACGTGCCCTCTCTACGGACACCGGGCACCAAGGTTGCTCGTTCTCAGTGCGCGAGCATGTGCGCGTGACGTTAGAGCACCGAGTACGCATGCGCGCCGCCACTGCCTGGCGTTTGCAAGCGCAGGCACGTGACATAACGTCACTGCTAGACTAGAGTGTGCGGGGTGCCGGCATGGTGCTTGCAGGCTGTATCATAAAATAGCTCAGTTGCTGCATATTGCTTTATGCTACGTGTAGTCTGCAGCTTCCTGGATATGATCTTCACTGAATGACGTTTATCGGTCTCTTTATCAATGTTTTTCTGCAGCGCAGTGATTTAGCGGTGTCAGGCACACCCTTTCTTCATGTGCACTGATAGAAGTCTGAGGGGGATTTCACAAAATCTGGAGCAGCTGTGCATGGCAACCAATCGGCTTTTCTCTTTCATTTTCAAATCTTAACTGAACAAACTAAAGATATTAGCTGATTGGTTGCCATGGGTAACTGCTCCAGATTCTGTCTTCTCCAGTTTTGATAAATTCCCCCTCAAGGGGCCAAAACGCTCAGGTGTAAATGGACACCATTGAAAATAATGGGCTTGTTCCTATTTAGCATTGTTGCAGTTGAAACACACAGAACGCTCAGCTGTGAATGGGGGCTTAGACCCCATTCACACACGAATCGGCCTGCACGTACAGCTCCGTGCTGCGTGCGGGGCCGTACCAAGTAGCTGCCGGGAAGGACAGGTGCTGCGTGTGATTAGAACGCAGCCCCCGTCCTCTATGGGGCTACGCGGTCGTACGCCCCCCTACGCTCACCTCATTTGCAGGTCCGTAGGGGTGCAGGCAGGGCAGCCATCAGAAATTTTGGGGCCCCTTACACAGCTTTAGGCCGGGCCCACCGCACCGCCACCACACTGAGCCGGTCACACTGTTATTATACATTTATATAGCTCTGACATATACCGCAGTGCTGTACAGAGAACGCAGAGACAGTCACATCAGTCTCTGTACAGAGGAGCTTACACTCTAATGCACAATGGCACCGGCAGTAGGGGGACTACAAATCCCAGCAATACATTTATACACCAATGCAGAAGAGTATATGAATTTGGCTCAGGGCTTAGCGACCCGGTGGACGCAGGGATTAGCGACCAGATGGACGCAGGGATTAGCGACCTGCTGGACGCAGGGCTTAGTGACCTGTTGGACGCAAGGCTTAGTGACCCGCTGGACGCAGGGCTGAGTGACCCGCTGGACGCAGGGCTGAGTGACCCGCTGGACGCAGGGCATAGTGACGTGCTGGACTCAGGACTTAGTGATGCGCTGGACTCAGGGCTTATTGACCCGCTGGACGCAGGGCTTAGTGACGCGCTGGACTCAGGGCTTAGCGACGCGCTGGACTCACCTGAGAGTGACCCTGCAGAGCCCACCATAGATGCTGCACAGCCCATCTTAGACTATCTATACTGGGATCTGAAGGGGTTCTAAGGTGGGCTGGTCAGGGGTGCATCCCC